GGGAATTTCAACGTAAATATACATATATATGTATGTAAAAACTGAACCGTTGCACCGATTATCGTCAAATACAATACCAGCCATCTTTTAATCACACTCAAGAAATGTGCCAAAGTAGAAGGCGATATCTAAAAAATTGCGGACGGGAGAGCGCGAACAATTTTTGTGCACATACATACACACACACATACATTTTTTTTAAATTGTGTTTTTTGAGTTTTTAAAACGTTTTAAACCCATTGGCAATGAAAACTGGAAAAAAATTTTTCGCATGAAAACAAAGCTTCCTCTATGAGGAAGCAATATCAACGAAAAATGTACACTTAAAACTAGGGCTGTTACTTTTGATAACTTCGAAGGTTCGAAGCTTCGAAAGAATGTGAAGGTTCGAAGCTTCGAAAAATTTAATCGTGCGAGTGGCGAATGTATTCAAAGAACATTCGAAGCTTCGACGATTTCGAAAGTTCGAATGGCGAAGGATTCGAAGGAAATCACCAGTCCTACTTAAAACTACTATGCTATTTTTCCTTTTAATCGTGTAATATACCTTTAATTTTCTGCAGCAAATCAAGTCAATAACAATGAATACGAGCATAAAAAGAAACGCTGGTGTATAAGTTTTGTAAATTTTTCCTTGTGACCACAAGTCTATTGTATAACCCGATACAAGTGACATAAAAGAATAACCGATTGAACCCCACAGTCGTTGCTTACCGTACTTCATTTGTCCAACTGTACCTAAAGAATTAAATTTCGATGAAAAATATTTCTTCCTTACATCATAATATACAGGGTGTCGGATTCGATTTGGACGACTCCAAAGATTATAGTAGATTGGGTCAAGTTGAGAAGAAAAGTTATATACCATTTTACAAAATCCGTAATTATTATCGCGTAATTAAGAAAAACGTCTGAGCCAATAAGTGCACGGAGGAGCTGAGGCCGGACTCGGCAGACATGCAAAATGGTGTATTATTCTCCTACCACCAGAAAAACTTTTTCGGCGCGTTGTCATATGTCGCGCGTTCGCTCGCTGCGCGCCGTTCGCCCGCTCACCGCTCCCCGCTCGCCCCCGTCTCTCATCGATTGATGCGTGACTCCACCTCTCGCTATCGGATCTTGAGAGATGTCAACAAATACACCATTTTGCATGTCTGCCGAGTCCGGCCTTCCGCTCCTCCGTGCACTTATTGGCTCAGACGTTTTTCTTAATTACGCGATAATAATTACAGATTTTGTAAAATGGTATATAACTTTTCTTCTCAGTGTGACCCAATCCACTATAATCTTTGGAGTCGTCCAAATCGAATCCGACACCCTGTATACGAAAGTGTTTATGAGGTAATTAATTGCTAAAAGTTTATTGGTACACGGAGAGAATTTTCTCTTAAAATTTATCCTGAAAATTATGTGATCGTGGGACAACATGCCATTTTGAAGAACTCTATAAGAGTTTTTTAAAATTGTATCATATATTGAAATCATGTTTCTTCGAATCAACAAAATTTTTATTTACTTCTACTGAAACATTTGCTAGATATATTTGTAGAAATAAATATAATAAAATTTTGGTTAAGGCAAACAAGTTATTTCTTTGAAAATAAATAAAAAGTTTAGTAAGGTTGAAATTACAAAAACATTAATCTCAAAAAGATTTTTTTCTGGGTGTACTACAATAGTAAAATAGACACTAGTACAATTACTAGTGAAATATATATGGTAAAGTTTCAAAAAGCTCTCCTAAAATTCTTCGAAATGTTGCATTGTCCCACGATCACAATGTTCAGGATAAATTTTAAAAGAAAATTTTGTCCGTGTAAGGTTACTTTTTTTTTATTTTATATTGATACGTGACTTTCTCTGAATACACATTTATGAAATTATTTACCTAATATGTCGAAGCAAATTGTATCATTTACGCTGATGGAAATGTAATAACCAGCTAAGCCAAAAACCATCAAGATGACAAAACCCCAGAAAGTAACAGACGTGTATAGACATCGATCGTCTTCGAAATTATCACAGGTAACGTTACAATTATTATTCGCTGTTTCATTTCTTTGACACAATGACGTTTCATTGACATTTAATAAGCATGTAGTATCCGATGAGATAATTGCTTCCTTTTCGACTCCATGAAACGATAATCGTATGGAAAAATTCATATCCTTACACACCCAATGACACGTCGTGTCTTTTGTACCGTTGCACGATGCCAGTACTGATGCGTGCTGAAAATTAATGTATAAATAAAACTTTTGAATACACAGCTGAAAATACACTGGTCAAAAAAATTAACGCAACAAGAAATTTACATCAAAATTTGGCGAATTTCAAATAAGCGTAACTTCGCGAAAACTGGTCGAATTGAAAAGTTTTTTTTTCATTTTATAGGGCAAAGTCTCTGCTTTAAGGAGCTCTTATTGGAATTTGCATTCACTCTTCCCATTTCCCGGAACTTTCTCAAAATCATGGCCATGGTTTTTCTCTAAAAAATTGCACACTTTGACGCACTGTGCGGAGTGTAGTAATTTTTCTTCGCCAGTTCTGCTTACGGTATCAAAAAGTGTATACTTTTCTCTTCAATTTAAAAAAAGAAAAGAAGTTCCTACGATTTTTTTTCGCCAAATCACAGCTCATTGAAATAACCCTTGTGTTTTCGACATTACCGACGATATCTCCGTTAAAAATCATCTTAGCAAAATCGTTTTTTTTTAATTAAAGCTTGCACTCTCAGCTTCAAAACTAGTCGCTAGATTTTTCCTCGAATGCATCTGCGCTGCTGTAGCTTTTAAAATGTAAGGACATGTTTTTACCTAAAAACTAACCAACTTCGGCCAGGTGCCCGGGCGTAGGAAATTTTTCATCGCTAATTCTGCTCGAAGTATCAAAAAGTGTGTATTTTTCACATCGGATTTTGCACATCATGTGGCCCTGAAGAGGGCCAGAGGTGTATTCATATCGAACATACTGGGATATGATGGGAAGAAGGCTGCGTGACTTGTAGGACCACACGATGTGCAAAATCCGAACGGCAACCTCCACGTGCACATTGGGTTACGCTGATGTCGACGGTAATGAACGAAAATACAAGGGTTACTTTAAAAAGCTGTAACTTGGCGAAAAAAAATCACAGTAACTTCTTCTTTTTTTAAATTGAAGGGAAAAGTACATACTTTTTGATACTTCGAACAGAATTAGCGAGGAAAAATTTCCTACGCCCGCGCACCTGGCCGAAGTTGGTTAGTTTTTAGGTAAAAACATGTCCTTACATTTTAAAAGCTACAGCAGCGCAGATGCATTCGAGGAAAAATCTGGTGACTAGTTTTGAAGCTGAGAGTGCAAGCTTTAATTTAAAAAAAAACGATCTTGCTACGATGATTTTTAACGGAGATATCGTCGGTAATGTCAAAAACACAAGGGTTATTTCAATGAGCTGTGA